TATCGATGCATAATATTTAAATATTTAATAGTAATAGAATCCTATATGTGAAAAATACAATCTATAGGAAATAAGTGCTTTAAACGGTCCAGTTAGGATCTTAAGTGTTTGTATAATTCTATGTGAATTTATACGTAATATTATGTAGTCCTTTAAAATTCGCACCGAAGTGATTTTTTTTTTAAAACCTACAGCAAACTATACTAAACTAATAACATCAGGAGTTAAATGGACTAATAATTTAATAATTTACTGCTCTTACGTATCTTAAAACTCTTACGTATCCTAATGCTGAATGACATATTACAATCCTAAATAATTCTTATTGTAAAAAATATTACATCGAACTCGAATTTCTGGCATTTCTCCCTGTGAGCATCTAAATATTTATTAATAGAATATTACATAATATTCTGCTAATAAATATTTAGATGTTGCAAAATAATGTTTCAATCATAGTTCGGATCTCTATTGATGTAATTAGAATAAAAAAAAATTATTAGTGTAATTAGAAAAGAAAAAATAAGCATATAATATGGGTAGTTATCACTATAAGATCTATTAAAATGTGAACTTAAAAAAATAGAACGAATAGATTGATAATTTGAAATTCTAAAAGAACGATTGCGAGTACAGATTATTCAATTAAAAATAACCTTAAAGTCATGAACGTGGCTATTATATGCCAGTTTAATCTTTTTTGTTATCATAGTCTGTATGTCTTATTCCGTCTGATTTTTATGGTAAATATATTTATCTTTGCAAAATAAAAGAATAGAAAATTATCTTATTTTCTAATACATACAGTAAGAATAATAAGAAGAGAATAAAATTTTGTTCATATTTTATTACCTTTAGATCATCTGGATGACGGATGGATATAACGGGTATAAAGAATATCCAATTTTTGTAAATGGGATAGTACTTATTAGAAAGAGTGATTAAACGCTTCCATAGTACTTCTAAAAAATATATGTATACGCACACAACGTTTTTGTTCATATATTATATAAATTTATAAACATTGTAATAAAAATTGATTTAAACATTTAAATATACAGAAATATGATATGTTTAATATACTCTATTATTTCTCAATAAAGTTTAGTAACCGAGAAATGAATACTATTATGTAGAAAATAATTAACAACATTAAATAATTCTTAAAATTAACAAGCAAATGTTTTTTAACATTGATGGAAATACTTAATGTTTTTTAAAGTGAATGTGTACAAATATTATATTTGCATGTATGTGTACATATAAACATTAATTTAGTCAGGAATTATACATTAATTTACTGGGAGTATATTGAATGCCAATTTAAATATTATTTTAATTATTATAGTCGTTCCTGGATAAATCGAGTAACACAATTATGATTTCCAATGTTCATCGAAAATTAAAAACGGACTAATAATTTAATTGAATGATATACCGTCAAACTTTAAATCACAAATATTTAAAACATTTTAATTTTTAAAATAAAATTTTATTTAAATATATAAAACATTTTTTTAACTTACCTCGCGAAACAAGTAATATGTATACACTTCCAATAATTGGATAACATAGTGGTCCTGGTATTAGATTAATGAGTCGTCCGGTTTTTCCATAATGCACATAATAATTACATACTAATAACATAAAGACACAGATTGATAGCAATACAACAAACATTATTGATCAACTAATCAAATTGATTAATATTATAAGATTTTTCTAATTTAATGTGTCTCAATAAAAAAATTCTAATTTTTTTATTGTCCTGATATTTTTAATTGCTCAAGAATTGTTCACTTTTTTTTTTTCAGAGATAGTTAAAAATGATGCACTTGGACTGTAATGAAAACACGTCCGCTCCGAGCCGCTTCTCGAGAATAATATGAGTTTGTCTTACTTATTTTTTCTTTTTATAAGGTGGTAAAGAATGTTAATTTCGCAAAATAAATATGGACGCTTGTTTAATTTTAAATTTAGATTAGGCGATACGCTTTACATGAATTTTGGTTTACAGTTCATTCCACTGTCCATTCCGCTGTTGAGTGAGATGCGATTTATATGTTTTCTTGTCTCCTAAGAATCTTAAGAAATTGATTTTTATATTTGAAAGACAATATTCAGACTAATATTTTGTTCGTTAATTATGTATCGTGAATATTTTCATAAGAATCTCTCGGAAGGCACAGGAAGTTCTTAAGAGACCAGAAAAAGTGTTTTTGATTAAACATTCACGGAGGGGGTTTGTTTCATAAAATATGACGCTTTTTGTGTGCTGTTCGGTAGTCTCACAAAAATTCTGTAATGCGTGCATCCGCTGTAAAATCTTATGCAAAGAGAAACGCCGAGAGGGGAACTCGGGCAAGTACTCGGCTATATTCGATCGCTACTGAAGAAAAGTTATTTTTTCCGTAAAATATTATATCCGATTGTTTGAGATCGATAATTCGAAAAAAAGTAAGAACTCTTTCGATCGACCGACAGTAATTGTTATTGAACGCACGCAAGGTGAACTCGTGATTTCATCTCGAGCCTGACCGTAAGCCTCGTCAAAGTCAGGGATTCGTCGTTCTTTGTTCTTTTTAAAACAATTCGGTATACGCAAACAGGCACCGGTAACGGACACTCGAAAGTTCGAGAACAATTCAATTCGCGCACTCGAGCGCCGCGCTCCGACGAATACGCGCTGTCACCAATCCCACGTACGGATTTTCTGTCGCCCATGACTGTTACGTTGAACGTTGTTAGAAAAGAATCCAAATCGCCAATCAATTTTGTACACCTAATGCCACGTAATAATTACGATTGTTGCAAAATTTTATTTTTCCCAAGAAGAAAGCCCAGGCCGAAAGCAATAAATGCTTCGATCTCGCCGTCCTCCTCCTTAGAGTCTAAAAGTTCTTAG